AGTAATGTAACATACAATTTAGTAATGTAACATACAATATTAAATACGTAACAAGGAAAATGTTTCGAAAAATTTCTAAATTAAAAAATATTTGTTGAATTTAACGCTAAAAAGTTTTAAAAAGATTGAATAGAAATATATGTATATCATCTAGAACATTGTTAAATATCGAAGGAGCAATGGTAACCCAGTTCCTTGAGTTAAATAACATTTTGTTACTTTTAACTTTCATACATGTCAAAATGTAAATCAACCCATTTCTGTAGTTTCAAAGTAAACAACGTCGATATTAACTTATGCACTTAAATAATAAACTAAATTCGAATAAAATTTAATATATTTTCTTAAGTTAAACTTTATTGTTTTAATTAAATTAATAAGTAGGAGCAGTAACGACCTGATAGAAATGATTACAAATAACTCAAACTGAGTATAATTATAGACATTAATAGACATTATTTAACAGTAAAACGAGAGCCAGTTGATCTTATTATAAAGTTACAAGTTTTGTTTCACCCTCTCCAATCTCGACTTCTTCGATCACGAATCTGTAACAAAATTAACGACATTTCGAACGCGCCTTCGATCACAACCATTCATAAATCTACCCGTATCGTTCTCGTCCATTAGCATCTCGTCGTGCGTAGAATCGCGGCGAGGACAGCGTATCCTGCAGTTTGTCCTGGTATCGCAGTTGAGTAACACACCGACGTTCGCGGAGGCAACCAGTCAGCGGCTGGTGGGAAGTATAAAATGTCAATACGTTTACCGGCAGGCTATTGTTGAGCTTGATCTATGTTTATGGGCGTAACGGCGTAGGTCGCCGTCGTCGTCGTCGTTGCATACGGAGCAACGACGCGCAGAGAAAGCGCGAGTATCTCTTTCTGTAATGTTCCGGCCGTAATAGTACAAAGGCGGTCCTCGGTTCCTGCTCGTGTCCGCGAATGTATGACGACGGCACTTTGTAAGCGCACGTGAAACATTTTGACACACGCATGCCAAGGATTGTTCCGCGAGTTTTGAAAATTGTTATCTCCGTTTTTTAACGTGACAGAGACATCCGTACTCTTTGATTACACATGTAAATCATTTAATTAATTTTTATATTATAATGTACATCTTATCTCTTTTTCCTATCAACTTATTTAATTCACTAAATATTTTTAATTTATTATGATGCATATCTTATCTCTTTTTTCTATCAACTTATTTAAGTTATTAAATATTTTTAATTTACTTAAAACATTAGTTTACGAGGTTTTTAGTGCAAGAGCATATTATTTATTTCTAGGGTAATTTTCAACGCTGAGTCCGAACGCTGCTGTTAGTTTCGATTTTTGAGGTAAGAAAAAAATTTTACAATAATAAAACTTTATTTTTTATATTTTTGTATTTCTTTTTCGAAAGTAGAAAACAAATCGAAAGTGTTAGCATTTAATTTTTATTTTTGAAAAACAAAAATGGTTTGGTTATTAGAGTCCAGCAGTAAAATCGCCTAGCATGGCTCCGTTCCAATACTCCTGATAACATTTCTCAATTATTATCAAATCCTGGTTCGAAAAGAAATACTGTATCTTAAAATATAATATATCTTAAAAATAAATGTTTTATCTTAAAATTGACACGCTATAATTTAAAAATTTGATCTGATAAAATTTTTCTGGCGACAGATTCGAACTCAGCGCCTCAAAATACGTTAACAATAGTTGTCTCCTTTTTTGCATTAAAAATTATTCAAAATTTTTATAAACTAGTGCCATTAATTTATTTGCGCTCCAGGTACATATTATATAAATATCAGTATCATTTTATTTTACACGTGTAATTGCGTGATGATAAAAAGAAGACGCAAAATATTTCTGCAAATTATTAATAATTCCCAGAAAATTTATAAATGCGCGAAGGATTAAGCTCCACCTCCTGCAAAGCTGTCGATAAGACCGAGGAAGATTGAGGAAGTTATTTGCACAAGACGAGAAATTACCTCCCTTCGTTCCTGCAATGTCTCGTATCGGAGCGTGTTCTCGCTATCTTATTACGCGCACGTGTCTTCGAATGTGTGGTATTAGTGTGTGTGTAACCCACGCCTGCGCTGCGGCGATATCGTTTGTGATAATGCATGTGCCTAGTACAGATCTCCCGGTCGAACGATCATCCCCTCGCTATAGCGATGTTCTCATTACCTACGACTTTACACATTCACACGCGAGATAATACTACGACCAAAGCTAATCCGTGAGAAAGAGCGTTCTTCTCGGTCTATTTCGAAAAATTGAACCGAAATGATAGAAGGCTGATCGTCCAATCTATACGCCGTGATGTTTGAGTATTTCTTCAGCTCGGGTTATTCTCCGTCTTTCACGCTATTCGGCACGTAGAAGAAAATTGTCAGACATAGAAAAAAGAAAGCAGTTGCAGCGAGTCACTCGTACGCTTTGTTCGATATATCGCAAACAGGTACAAGAGGGAGAGAAAGAGAGAGAGTGAGAGAGAAGGACGGACAGAGAAAGGGTTCGAGGTGCCAGAGACTCGCCAAGGGAATGAAACCTGATTTAGGACTGCGGTCCAGAAATCTCCCAAGAGACCCTCCAGGCTGACCACCGCGCACTCGCTTCGCTTTCCAGTGTCCCTCCGAGTACGATCCTCGCCCTCTACCACTACTACCTTTTCTCTACCGGCTCTTCGGTGTTCCACGTCCAATGTCCCCACGTCCCTGGACACCAACAAGTGCGACTCTTTACCAACATCGCGTTGGAAATGCGTCCGGAATACTGAAGACCTCTTCAAGTATTGCGACAGGATATGTTACAAAAAAAAAGAAACCAATCGCTTCGATAGAAAGAGCATAGAACAGAAGAATAATACGAATGAGATTAGATTTTCTCCGCTGTAAAGTACGTTATTTCATGACGAAGATCAAAAGATTTTGTAGAATTAACAAAGATAAAATTTAGCACTATAGGGAATAATTATTGCTACAGAATATAATGTCCTTCTTACTCGAGAAAATATTTCAAAGTAGCGGCAAAGAGTAAATTTCAATATGGAGAAACAATACTGGCGGGTGTAGAATTTTCATTCAATATGTTTATTCTATATTTGCTTCAAAGTCTCCTTTAGCTCATATAATATCTAGACTTGGTCGCTTTTTATATCGAGTATTCTCGCGAAGTGTAGAGAGAGAGGCGGACCGACCAGAGGCGAAGTTTCGGACGAGGGTCATGGGAAAGAAAGGAATAAACCGAGCAGCAGAAAAGGAGAAAGAAAGGAAGAAGCTCCTGGCACAGCCTGGCGTGTAGGTTACTACGTGCCTGTTCGCCGAGGCATCCCGTGACCGTGGTCTGGCTTAAGGATTCGGGTCAGGCTGTAACCTGCCTCGATTGCAAATATAGAGAAACACTTTTGGAGGCGCTGCCAAAACCAAAACTCAAGTGGCACTGGGCGTCGCGTTGCACGATGCGACGAAAAACGCGAAAATTTAATCGACCCTTGCCGTACCGATTCTCCCGATTTTATCCAGCAATTTCCACCGCGCGTAACTTATTTGGAAATCCGTAAACCTATACCACAGCTCGAAAACCGAAGGAGATAGCTTACCACTTCGTTCAATCTGACCGAAAATCAGTAACCTTTAAACTTTTCCCAGCTCGCCCACTAGCCATTTCCCTTTCGGAGCACGAATTTGATGCCTAGAATATTTATGCGGTATGGAGATATTACGCCACTGATATATCATTAGCATTTCGCGAGAATTCGTTTTGTTAATATTTTATAATCTTATAAATGGATCATTCTCTTTCTCTTTCTCACTCCTCTCTTTTCTTTCTCATATGTATGTGTGTGTGTGTGTGTGTGTGTGTAGAAGCTGGTGGAAAAATTAATGGAACCGACTGAGATTTGGGATCCCTTGTTTTCAATCCTAGCACTTAGTGTGCTATGCCAACGATACTCCATTGTTATCATCATTATTCCGGTCGTTTATGAATACTTTAGGGAATCTATACAGTTTCCCTTACTTTCCTACATAACACACACATACACATATATTTATATATACACACACACATATATATATATATATATATGTCATTAGTGAAACATTACCGATGGATTTCATTATCGCCATAAGAGATACGCCTCGACTCATGAAAGATACGCGTTTCGCTCAAAAACACTCAAAGCATGTAACGTCACGGGAAAAAATAGCACATCCTTTGTCACCGGATATGAATCTTATTGAGCATACTTGGAATATGCTCCCACAGACGGCGGTGCAAGAATGCACCCGCGAAGCGGCGAAAGCTCGCAGCTGCAGTCACTGAAGAATGGGCCGACATACCGCGAGAAGTTCTTCGCCATCTTTTTTCGAGGCTTGCGCCGTCATGTAAAATTGTGGAGGTAGAAAATATAAAATTCGTGGGAGCCGGCGGATATTAAAACGAGGATAGCCCACGGAGCATAAATCGTGTCAAATATCTACGCAATAACTTATCCCTTTTCATTTCCATCCTTCGCGCCCTTCATAAATAGATATACAGCAAGCGATGCAAAGTAGCTGTTCCCGTGGAAAAATAACACTCCTACTGTCATTTCAAGCACGTAAAGCCCAACTATTCGACTAGTTTTACTAAAAGGAACATAGTAACGAAATACTTCAGGAATAATTTAAGAAGCTTGTCATATTATAAGATGTCTGAATGTTAGTACAATAATCCTACCAGATAGATGATAAAAATTTGCAACAATTTTAAGAATAGCCGCGTGTTCCTATTCCAGAAACTTTACCTATAAAAATTATAGACCTATGTAATAATTCTATAGAACTACACACCTATGATATTCTATAGAAACTATACCTATAGAAACCGTACCCATTCCAAACTTTACATTGACTAGGGAAACTAAAGAAAATAATAGTGTATCGTAGGCATATGGTATACGCAATAGCTTGCTAATTGGATTGCGGGCGAGAAGTAATTTTCCTGGGCTACATTCAATACCTGGTTGATAGAGATAAAGGTCCGCGGCGCGCGGCCACACAATCGCCGAGCGCTCCACGCTGCCTGGTTGATTCCGCGTGCTTGCGGATCTCGGAAGTCCCACGAAGAGTCGCAAGCCGCCGTGTCCCTCGTCTCGTAGTCTCACACAGTCGCGTTCGCCGTTCTTCACGAGTCCACGTTGTCCCCTTCGACGGAATCGCGATGGTCGTTCGTCGTCATCCCTCTCCTTCTATTCGCGACATGTACGCTTAACGAAGCGTCGACGATAGAATGGGGAACGCGTTGTAGTCGCGCACAAACGAAACGCTTGTCCTCACAAGCAAACACTCACCGAGTACAGTTCACGTTCACGTTCGGATTGATCGTGCCCAGAGGCACCATGAATATCGAGTATTGCTCGAGGGGGGGAAAAAAAATCCTCCTATTCGTGTAATCACTCTCACAACGAGTTAAACTACCCGCGGAACGTACGCGAGAGTCGCAGTCGTACGACCACGAGCGCCGCCGGTACGTCGCAGTGTCGACGACCACGTGAGCTAAGAGCGATCCGCTCCACGTGTCTTCGATCACGCTTCAACTGACTGGTCTACGAAAACGTCGAGTTAATTCGCGGTACACCGAACGGTGGAACAAATCTCGTGTCTTGGAACGAAGAACGAAGAAATAGCACTAAATCGTAAGCTCGCGGTTTGAACGAGAGAGAGCCCGACAACGTCGCGCGTGGTCAGTACTCGTTACATTTAAACACCAACGTCACGAGGAAAGAACATCGACAACATCACCACCGATACGCGGGGCAAGTATCGTCGTACCGAACTCGCCACCCTGTTGTCCCCGCAACGAACGCTCCTCGTGCTAGGTGTCACTCGACTCGGAAACGCTGGTATCGCCGGCGAGAGCGTCGTCCGCGTGACTACCGACCGTCCTCCGCCTCGTCGTCGTCGTCGTACACATCAAGGAGAAAGGGCCGCGTCACTTCGGAGCAGAGTGACGAGCGGACGGCGGGCCAGCCGCGGGAAGAAAATAATCGCGAGTTCGTCGAGCGGCTGGCGGCGACGACGGCGCGTCCTCTCCCCCACCGACGAAAAATCCGTCCGGAAATCCTCGTGCGCGGTGTATCAGGTCTCGTTACAGATCACCCTCCGGATCACGAACCGACGACAGGGAGGGTGACGACGGCGGAGGGGGGATGGGGGGAAAATGAAGGGGGCTAACGACGAGCTGCGTCTCCAGCTGATCGTCGTACGATCAACGGCGATGTACAACTCGTGCACTCCGGCAACGACGCCGCCTCCTTTACCAAAACGTGGAGATGGTGTACACTGCGGTCGCTCTCCGCACACTGAGGATAGCTGACGTCACGAGCCCACCACGCGGAGGTGGTCTCGCGAGCGACGGTTTCGCGCCGGCGCCTGCGGCGGCTGGCAATCCCTATAGGCACACACAGTGCCAGTACAACCCTGCGCGCCGGTGTGTTTCTCTCCCTCTTTCTCCTCCCCCCTCCCCCCTCCTGCCGCCCCCCC